CCAATATCTTGCAGGTGACAGGAAATCATCCGACTTCTACCGGTCTAAGCATGGCTAAGCATATATTCGATCCTGGACCTACACAGGGTTAAAGGTATGTATTTGGACAAGGTAGTTCTATGCATGAAGTGTTTTCAAATCAATTCTTATAACCTAATGCATCAAACATAAATGGCTCAAGTGATATTTATAAAACACATAGGAGGCTTAGAATGCTCTGGGGCTTGTCTGGGACCCAACACTAGGTTAATGTTTGTTAGATGACACTCGCTTGGCGAGCATCTCCTATCTCGGCACTTACTTAGTCCTCCCGTCTTCTAGAGGGATTTACCAAATTCCATCTTCGGGTTTGGCTCCAACATCATATCATTCACGTGGTGCATCTAGCGTACCTAGATGAGATACAACAATGCATGTGCATGCATGCGAAGAATGGCAATATGAGATGCTTCACATAAAAGTGTTTAAGATGAGCACAATGTTACAACGAACATATATAAGCACTTCACGTTGCTTAATTAAGCATCACACAACCTATCATGCTAGGATAGCAAGGAAGGCAGCACCAAGCATAACACAAGTTTCACAAGGTTTTAGGTATATTAACTTAACACCATCAAAGGCATGAGCCACACTTAGCAACACACAAAGCAAAGCAAGGTGAAGCAAACAATTTTAGGTATAAATACATATTCTAAACAGCAGCACCACAATCACTTGTTTTAACCATACCCAGAGTTCTAGGCATGCAAAAAGTGTGATCCTAGACTTTCTGAAAAGCTAATGAAATTATCTAAAACTTTATTATTAATACCAAAAGCTGATTCAAAGGTTAACAAGGTTGAAAAACACTAACAAGCAGATCTGCACAAACTAGGACAGAAAACTGACATGAACTTCAGAAATGCATAACTGAAGTTTTAATTATTCAACAAACATGATTCTTAACTTTATGAAAAGCTTATTAAGTTACCTATAACTTTATTATTATCATCTTAAAATGATTCTACAGCTAACAAGGTTAAACAACCCAATGAAGACATCTCTGTCCAGATTTGGACAGAACCGGTCATTCCACTTTGAATAGCCATAACTAGAGTTTTAGATCACCAAAAACAGTGATATTAGACATTTTAGAAAGCTTATGAAAAGCACTACAACTCTCCCATTATCACCAATACATGATTCCATGTTTAATTAAGCCAAACAATACAATCATTCAGATCTGTCCAGAGGACATGCAAAAGCTGACAGCAAACTTGTAAAATCTATAACTACTAAACCAACAAGCCTAAAATCATGACATTTTAGGACAAGCAAGATAAGGAAATTATCTACAACTTTGGTATTCACCATATTTACAGAAAACATCATTTGATCCATGAAGTTATCATCACAACAGAAAATGCACATGCAGCCATTTCAGAATATAACAATTTGATGTTTCACTTGTTTTGCTAACAAAGAGCATACACAAATGAGCCATTCAAGATCTTCAACCACCACTAATATACTTAGCAACACTTTATTGAACACCAATCACTTAAAGCATCACCAAATACAATTCCAAGCTTTATCTACAATTATGCTTTTTATTAATCCTTTCTCCTAATAAACATATATATTATTTTAGTGATATTTGAAAATAACTAGTTTGGGGCTAAGATTTTTATGAGGGGTAGATGTTATCAAAACATGGCTACTGCACAAATTTCACATGCTCAGGTTTTATAATTTAATTACTATGAAAAAGATAAATTGCTATTGTAAGAAAACATGTAAAAGCAAGATAAATTTAAAGATCATCATTTTCTATAAACATATAGCCATATTATATGTTATTATGGTAGCACAACATCATACAAAGGTAGAGGAACAACATTTTCTATTTTTACACATTCATAAAAATTATAACTTATTTAAAACCATTTATCAAGCATTAAACAAGTTAAATCAATAACTCAATCATACTGTATCCAATGACCATGAAAGTTTTACCACAGCACACACAGAGCATCAGTAACCTACCATAAAAATTTCATAGCAATTGGAGCACCACAACTTTAGATATGAATTTATTCCTAGAAAACCCTAATTAACATAGATAAATAAAAACAACAAAAACCTACTACTAACACATATGATAAAATGACTCTACTGCATAGATCTACTCTCAAGGATTCCAAAAAGTCTTCATTTGATATTTTACGATTTTTCTACGATTTATTATGATTTTTCAAAGTTTTAGCCAAATAAAAGCAATAAAGGAAAACACATTTGCACCGAGGCACCTGAACTTCCACGAAAATAAATTCCAGCGAAACAGTTCTTCCAGCCACTATTCACATGAGTCACGACTTCTGCAGAAAACCCTTTCCCTTTCTTCGAATTCTTGCGCGAGGCCCTTCATGCGATTTTGAAACAGGGACGCACAGGAGCTCGCAGTTCCGGCCGAAGGAGGCCATGCCGGCTGCCGGGGAGTGGCGGTGGAGCATCCTAGGGACCGCGCGCATCCGTAGGGCTGCTAAGCTCGATCGGAGACAGCCCAAGGTGGCCTGGCCACGCGCGTGCGCGGCGCGCAGAGGCGCAGCTCCGGCGACGGCCAACTGCAGCGGTGGGCGAGGCTGAAAAAAGGCGCACGTCGGGGCGGCATGTGGCAGTGGAGGCGTAGCGGCACTCGGCTGGGGCGGAGAAGGATCGTAGGGCAGGGAACGTGGCAGCGTCGAGCTTGGCCCGCCTCGGCCATGGCGGCGTCCGCGCCCGCGAGCTGCAGAGCGAGGGCGAAATGGAGGGAGCGCAGCGAGAGGGCGAGCGAGGAGTGGAGCTCGGGCGCGTCCACATCGAAGCGTCGGGCGAGTTTGGAGGAAGTGGCCGACAGGGGCTCAGGGAGCAGGGGCGCGTGGTGCTCAACATGGTCGCCACTCCGACATTGCATCGAGCACGTGACGGGCGACGGTGTGGCCACTGCGGAACACCGTTTTGGGCCGGCTACGGGCCAAAATGGACCTTGGGCCCAAAAGCAAAGTTGAAGCCCACAAACTGCTCTACAACTTTCATTAAGGGCATCCGGCCATTAGAGCTCTCTATTAGCGGTTAATTAAGCCCCAAATTGACAGTGTCAGCGACTAATCAAGGGTTAAGCCTTGCCCTGCTTGAGCTCGAATTACTTGTCAAAACGTGGTCAAATTTGATCCAACTTCTTTCTATTCCTTTTTCATGATGTAAACTCCAACTTTTATATTTGGCTCAATTTGAGTTGCTTAACAAAAATCTGAGAACGTGAAATGCCAACCGTCATCAACATTGCAATCTCAGACTTAGCCAAAATTTCGAGATCCGAAACAGCACTGGGTTCAGTCTTGATGCCTCAGTCTGACTAAGTTAGGGACCAAACTAGCTCATGACTCTTAAACAAAGTTTGTTGTGCACATCTTGTCCTGCAACTTTGGTTAAAGGATCATGGACTGATTCAACTTGGTTAGGAAGATACAAATCTCCAAAGATAGGTAGATGAAACTGAAATTCGGATTTCAGAGTTTCAGCAAAGTGTGACCGAATTCAGTGAACTTGCCATTTTCAAGAGAACCTTTGAATGACCAAATGAGCTCCAAATCTGCTGAGACTTATTTTGTTGTTTCCTTCATAAAGTGTACTTCAACTCATATTAAGGAATCCAGTTGAGTAACCATATGAATTTGGAAGATAAAACTGTCATAATATGTCAACTCCCAGCTGTCAATCAGGGACTTAGAAATATTTCAGAGGGGCTAAAACAGCACTGCATCCAAACTTGAGTTGAATCACTTAGGAGTTGAATCACTTAGGAGTTGAATCAGGGCTTGGTCCAAAAATAAAGTTTGTTGTACTCTATTCAAACTTCAACTTTTATTTAAGGTCCAACTCCATGCAAGCACTCCAAACAGTTGGTCAACACAGGTCAAAACCATACCATGAAAAAGACAATTTTAGCCATTCTCACTCTTAGAAGCATTTTCTTGACATTTGCTCAACATGAGCCTTGCATAACTTTTATTCATGAGTTTAAGGAGAGTTGTTTGAACAAGGTTACAAGTTTTGGTCGACATCCCATGTTTCCATTTGCTAAATGAAGCAATTTAAGTAAAAATGTAACTTATCATTTCATGTGACTTTTTGGCTCCAAACTTCATGAAACTTTTCCACTGGTCAAGATGGATGCATGTTGATGTAATGTACATGAAACAAGCATGTTCAACATTACTCTTGTGAAATCTTAACAATGGTCCACATGTAAGTAAATGTGTGTTGCTCAAGTTCAAGTTCGGACTCAATTTCATAGATTGGACCACAATACCTTCATCATTACTTCCAGATTATGAACTAGAGATCATAATCATTGCTTGATGTATCCTATTTAAGTCTAATTTCGCTGCTTAACTCATGACTAACACCCGGGGTGTTACAGTCAACCTTATACCACAACATTTCATGGATAGCATGTAGCTTAAGATTCCTAGGTAGCCAATTTACCTTGATCAGTCCATACTTGTTTTGGGCTTAAACAACATGACCCAATTTCTGCTATATGAGATACTGAGTACATGATAAAAATTGCCCTTCCAGGCTTCATCCACTAAAAAAGAATGAATTAGGTAAAATTAACGAAAGCTACTCTAGAAACATGTGCATCCTAGATATATTGTATGATTTTTAAATATTTTAGGAAAATTATTTGAGAAGGTAAAATAACAATATCCAAATATTACTTTTGCTTCCACAAATGTTACAAGTATTATCTATGCACTCTGCATTGCACACTATAAAACCATGATTATTTCGCAATTATAAGGTTATAAGACGTTTCGGCTGTTATAGATACATACATAATTTTTGCTACGTAATTAGGAATTCTCAGAAAATTTTAATTTTTAAGTAAGGAGAAACTAATCGCGCTCAAATCAGAAAATTAAATAAATAACTGATTATTTTTGTTTTTATCAGACAAGTTCAATCGTCATTCGATGGCTGATGGCATAAGTGCGCTAACCGATGTCACTTGTGTTCCAGAAGTGTCGCCATTAGACAATGTAAGTTCCTTTGACTATAAGTCACTACACATATATGAATCATTGTTAACTCTTAAGTTTTGTATACAACCCCTGTCATATACATGATGTGACTGCTGTGCGAACAAACTTGAATCCAGTTGAGCTACCTTTTGTATTTATAAAAAAAATTCAGTCGTTTCAATGTTGATTCATTTCAACTCGATCTATCATGCAGTGCAACAGTACTTCCTCACTAGAATCAGTTGGGAGGAAGAGAGGGGCAGATTGGGTGGCGGCGTCTGGGCCATCAGGGTCCAGAAGGCTGTGGGTGAAGGAGCGGGACCACCCTTGGTGGGACAAAATGAACAGCCCGGACTGCCCGGAGGAAGTGTTTCGGCACGCGTTCCGCATGTCGCGGGCCACGTTCGACGCGATCTGCAAGGAGCTCGATGCTGTCTCTAACCTGCTGAGCGGGGCCTTGCCCATTCGCCAGCGCGTCGCTATCTGCATCTGGCACCTCGCCACAGGGGAGTCACTCCGGCTTGTGTCGAAGCGCTTCGGTGTCGGGATCAGCACTTGCCACAAGCTTGTGCTCGAGGTCTGCAACAGCATCAAGAGTGTGCTAATGCCCAAGGTCGTGCAATGGCCTGAGGCACCAGAGGCTTCTGGGAACGGGTCCGCCAAGTTCGAAGCCGTTTCAGGGATCCCCAACGTGGTTGGTGTCATGTACACCACCCACATCCCCATCATAGCGCCCAAGGCCAATGTCGCTGCCTACTTCAACCGCCGTCACACAAAGCGCAACCAGAAGACGTCCTACTCCATCTCCGTGCAGGGCGTGGTGGACGCAGCCGGTGCCTTCACCGACGTCTGTATCGGTTGGCCTGGTTCCATGTCCGATGCCGATGTGCTCGAGAGATCTGCTCTGTGTGCGCAGCGTGGCGCGGCGGGCCGGCTCCAAGGCCAGTGGGTTGTTGGCGGTGCCGGCTACCCCCTCATGGACTGGCTGCTCGTGCCCTACACAAAACGTAACATGATATGGGCGCAGCACGTGTTCAATGAGAGATTGGATGGCCTATGTGCAGTGGCGCGGGACGCCTTCCAGCGGCTCAAGACACGCTGGGGATGCCTTCAGAAGCGCTACGAGGTGAAGCTGCAGGACCTTCCCATGGTGATCGGCGCCTGCTGCGTGCTCCACAACATTTGCGAGCGTGCCAACGAAGCTGTCGATCCCGAGCTTGCATTTCAGATCTTCGACGATGATATGGTGGCCGAGAACCCAGTGCGCTCCATGGCAGCCAGCAGCGCCCGTGATGCCATTGCCCACAACCTACTGCATCGCAGCAGCCACAAGCAGAACCCCGAAACAAGCTCTGCTTCAAATCAAGACACAGGTCAGCAGTCAGTTTTTCATGATTTTAGATAATGTGTGGGGCAATTTAGACAGCTAGAAATGATCTTATCTTCAAGAATTTACCGGCCTCAGTCAATGCGGTGAAGGAATCCTTTTTCAGGGAGCTTAAGCTACTGACAGCAAGAGAAAAAAGCTAGGACATTAGTATTTTTTACTTATATGGATCCAAATTTGTTGTAATTTCTGTTGTTTCCCTTATTTTCTTTTTTGAATTTTTTTGTCTCTTAAGCTCACATGATTGTTGTAACTTCCTTCTTTATGGCTAATTTGGAAACTCCAATCCCTCCGGGATACCGGATTTTTCCCGGGGTGGGAAATCCATGGGCACAACCGGACTCCTTGAGTTTGCCGAGTGTCCGAAACACTCGGCAAAATACCTAAAACACTCGGCAACTTCTTCGCCGAGTGTAACACTCGGCGAACAGCACTCGTCATAAATAGTGCCGGCAAAACCAACTTTGCCGAGTGCCATTTATCGGGCACTCGGCAAACATTTTGCCGTGTGCAGTTTAGCTCTCGGCGAAAATAAAAAGTCATAACGGCAGACTCGCCGTTAACAGTAACGTCGCCGAGTGTCAAACGGCAATGCACTCGGCAAATTTTTTTTTAAAATATTTTTTGGTTTTTAGAATTCCTTTTACGTCGAGTGTTGCACTCGGCAAATGATAAACATATGCCGAGTGTGGCACCGTAAAACACTCGGCAAAGAATTTTCAAACAGTATTTGGTTTTTTTTTAAAAATCATTTTCGCCGAGTGTTGCACTCGGCAAATGATAAACATTTGCCGAGTGTCGCACTGTAAGACTCTCGGCAAACATTTTTCAAACAGTATTTGATATTTTTTTTAAAAAACTTTCGCCGAGTGTCTTGGTGCTAACACTCGGCAAATTGTGTTTGCTTTGCCGAGTGTCTTGGTCATAACACTCGGCAAAACCTCAGAAATCTGAATTTTTTTTTGTTTTTGCATTACATTTCACAGCACATATATATATATATATCACAGCACAGATATATTACACAGCACATATATATATCATCTCCACATATCACAATAATCCACAATGGTACACAAATGTCATACCACAATACCAACATAAGGTTCGAGTTTAAAGTATCCACTACAAGTGCATTACAAGCATAAGTGCAACACAATGAATAAGTTCAACACATGAAAAGAAGCAAATCACCAATTAGACCACGGCGACTGCTGCGGTGGGTCATGAGGTACATCGTTTGATGCCGCCGATTGACCCTGCACAAAGAATAGATAAGATTAATTCTCTAGAGAAGTTAATCGATTGGTTAAACTTCCATTAACCAACCATCATCAGTGGTAGCTTGCCAGAGTTTAGCTTATTTATGCATGCTGGCATTGATGCAAAAAAAAAAGTTCTAATGCTTGAAGAACAAACTATCAAAATGGTCACTGAGCATTTCCTCTCATGTTAAAATGTGATTCTATATAAGAAGCACCAAACAGATATGCCATTCCTGAAGAGGTGGAGTAGGTGGACAACCTTCATTGTCAGCTACTAATTGCTGTTTAGCTAGCCATAAACAGTAGTGCACATTTTTGTACCTGGGAAGCTGAAATCAGGACTGCCGCATAATTAATTTACAAATCTTAAGGTTGCATCACAAAAGGTCATGGAAAATTACATTTGGGATCGAGTAAGACTAGCATGGCCTAGGAGATAGGGAAAGGCGCAAGATCTAGAGCATACTTCAACAGTGAACAGAAAATGATCTAGCAGAGAGTTATCCTAAAAAAAACGATACAGAAATTACAATACATCAGCTCAAAATTTGATGCTGTATGCATGTATGGTCTATGGTTAACACTGCATGCGTCCAGGTTGCCCGGCCCAGATATTATGGAATGCTTCAGAATACTTTTATTTTTTTAGTATAAAACAGCAATTTGCTTCTGCCTAATAGAATTACAATGATCTAAGTGTAACTAAAAGAGGAGTTCTTGTCCAGATATTTCATATGCTAATTATGTAGAGAAAGGAATAAACACTGTTGATACTTGATGGTCTTGATGTTGAAAAGAGGGTGGGGCTGACTGATGACACTGGTGTCCTCAATCCGGGGCAAGAGTACGCCGCAGTTACAGTATGCCATCTTCCCCTTTTTTTAGAGGAAAAAATGTAGACAAAAGGTACTATCCGAGGTGGTATGCCTTAATTAGTGTGACTTTTTAAGTTTTATCTACAGTCGTACATGTTAAGAGGTAAAGCAGCTAGAGCTGCTGCAGCGAACTGTATGCTCACAGGCTGAAAGGGGCAGAACTGTATGCCCAAACCAAGGTAAGCAAAAGGGGCAGAAGTGAACTAGCAGCTCTGCAAACTGCAAATTAACAAGCTGAGTAACCTTTGATGCAAATCACCCCATCATTCCCATTGCTAAAGACTAATCGGCACTGGGGATAGATGTACTCACAGGAGTGTCTTCAGGAGGACGAGGAGGAAGGAATAGCGCTTGTGGCAGAGGTTCACCCATCTTCGCGCCGAGATTTTGCATCCACTGAAACATGTGCTCCTGCCTCTGCCGATCAGCGTCAATCTTCGCCTCCAACGCTATTCTCTGCCTCCTCTCTTCTTCAAGCTCGGCCTACAAAATTTCACCCCAATGTTACAATGGAAATCAAAGGTATGTAAGAAATAATGAACGACGAATAAAAGAGTAATAACCTGCAAAGTCTGCATGGCGTGCTGTGTACTGGTCGGCCGTGGGCGTATGGGCGGCCTATGGCCCGTGTCGCTTGCTCGGATCTGGAAGAGAGTGGGGGTAGTGACGACGGCGGCGCGAGGGGAGCAGTCGTCTCCGGCGGCCTTCTCCGACGAGCACCCGGGTAGGGGCGGGGACGGGCGGAGTGGGCGCGGCGGCGGGCGCTGCTACTGTGGGCGGGGGAGGCGCGGCTGGAGGCGCGGCACCGGGGGAGGAGGAGGAGGAGGAGATAATTGAATGGGGAGAGGAGGGAGGAGGGAGGCGCGGCCAGGCCTATTTGCGCTCTTGGGCCTGTTTGCCGAGTGCCGGCCCGATGGGACACTCGGCAACATTTTTCTTTTTTCTTTTTTTTTGCTGCAAACCTTTCGTACTTACAGCTTTTAAAAAACATTTTTTAAACCTTTGCCGAGTGCCCCACCTTCTGGCACTCGGCAAAGGTACTCGTTATTTCATGTGCTTTCTTACTTTGTTTAGTTCCAAAACTCAATTTTTCTCAGATGAAGTTCCAAAAATCCTTGTTAAATTCACTTAGAAATATATGTTCGATGCTTTTATAAATTATTGGGCAACATTTCATGTAATTGTTGTTCAAATCCAATTTATCGTAAATAAAATTCAATAATTGCGGTAAAAATATTAAAAATTGTCAAACGGATCCGAAAAATTGCCAAAATTTTACAGGAAACGATCTTTGTTCTCTAATCCATATAGAAATTTTTTTGAAGTGAAACTCCAAATCAAAATTCAAATTGTCTCCAAATCTTACAGGATACTTCTCAAATCTCAGAAACTTCTCTGGAGATGCTCCGATTTGTAAGTAGCGTACGTGTTAACTGTGCCGAAACATTCTCAAATTTTTACCATAGCCTCTACGTATGATATCGTGACAACTCGATGAATTTAATGATTTTCAGACTTCGTTTGCTTTTTATATAATTTTCAGACGTTTCCGCCACACGTTTGTGGTCATGTTTCGCGAACACGATGTTCGAAATTTCTGGTCTGGCCCTGGATACGGTCTCACATCAGACTCAGTGACAAGAATATCATTTTTATTCACTTTTTTCGGATATTCGAAGCACTTGTAGTTCAAATCCAAAAAATTACCGAAAATTCATTTAACTAAAATAAATTGACGAAATATAGTAAAATCACTCAAAAATGTACAAAACTTCAACACAGAGCAACAGGTATTGTAATACAACAGTACAAAAAGTTTGGGTGGCAAAATAAAAAAAAAAATTGTTTGCCGAGTGTCAGGTGGTGACACTCGGCATATATCATGGTTTGCCGAGTGTCGCAAGGTCACACTCGGCATATAGGTGGGTTTGCCGTGTGTTAACATGTAACACTCGGCAAAATACTAACGGAGGTCGACGGTGTTACCTGGGCATGAAGTTGCCGTGTGTCTATTGTTTGCCGAGTGCAGGCACTCGGCGGAAACAATTATGCCGTGAGTTTTATTTTTGCCGAGTGTGGTCTTCGGGACACTCGGCAAACATGTTAGTTGCCGAGTGCCCGAAATCGTGCCCACGGCAAATCTGGGGACACTCGGCAACTTAGGCGTTTCCGGTAGTGGGGGATACTATTCTAGTTATTATCTTAGTTCTTAGTGGGGGGTTTTCATTCATGGGTTTTGCTCCCCTTCTTCCAAAAGGAGCCTTAATAAATCTCCTGTACGCCTTCAATTTCATTAAAAAAACGTGACAGTAATCCAGGTGCGGTGCCCTCCAACAGCTAGGGAACACGGACCGACCAAAACTCAACAAACATTTATCAAGACTTGAGAAACGCTTATTATAACATCAAAAAAAAGGAGCAAACACAACAGTCTCGTCTAGACATATAGAAGCAAGCTCATGATCACTCATGGTCGCATTTGGGCTATCATGTCTCCAGTTCTTTGTGGCTAGGTGAATGTGATATTGCTGTATGACCCCTTTGACCAGCTGGTACGGTACGGTATGGCACCTCAGTAGCTTGTTTTAAATCTTGATGGAAGGTTTTGCTATTTATTTTCCCCGTGTATTCTACCAAAGTAAATTAGGAGGACATTAAACAAGCGTATGTTGTTCTTTTTTTTCGCGACCATGCTTTGCATGTATATCATTAAGAAGGAAAATGAATTGTTACACAGGTAAACGCCGGTCGGTCTAGAATGCGAGCGGCACACTACGGCCGAATAAAGTTAACCGTGCAATAGAAGAACGGTGGCGCTAACTTGGTATTACATAAGAACAAATTTTGCGACATTTTCGACCGGCGAAGATCAACCAAAGTCCCTGAACGCCCACAGCGCGGCTAGGTGGCCGTATCCCGTCTGAGACCAATGATCCACCTCCTCCTCAATCGTGGTAGCAACATCGACAGGCGAGCGGCCAACCCCATGGAAAACCCTCTGGTTACGTTCCTTCCAAAGACACCAAGCTTCAAGGATGATGAGGGAGTAGCCTCTGTGCTTCGCCGTTTCGAGCTGCATTCAGTGCAGCAGCCACCAGTCGAGGAAGGCTACCCCAGGCGATGGCGCAAGGTTGGCGAGGTCGATGGGAGCCAACACCTTGAACCACACCTCCCGGGCGAACATACATTCACCAGCGAGATGCCGTGTTGTCTCCTGCTCCTGGTCGCAAAGGGCACATGCATCCCCATCCTGCAGCCCGTGCCGCATCCTTCTCGCCGCCGTCCAAAGCGGATCATGCAACAGCAGCCAAAAGAAAAACTTGCACTTCGGCGGAGCCCTAGCCTTCCAAAGCTCCTTAGCGCCTCTGAGGGAGGACATACCGATGATGAAGGCCCTGTAGGCAGAAGAGGCGGAGTACGTGCTGTCTGCGGTCCATCGCCAAATGAATCTGTCGCTTGTGAGGTCATTGAACACCACCCCATCAACCTTTGCCCAGACTACGACGTAGTCGCACAGCACGTGGGCGGTCGGGGCACCCTGAATACCGCGTACACAGCTTCTGTTGGTCAAAGCTTCGCGCACGGACTCGTCTGTTGTTCTTTCGAGTTGCGAAGTTCGAACTGCACTTCTCTGTCGGCCTGCTAATTCGAAGGTGTTGCAGTAAGTAGAACCTTATCATGATGGCTCAGATTTTCACCCCATTTTGTGTTCAAAGTTGATGCTCAATGCTGCTACGTAGAGGCCCACTAATGAGGTCAGTTGTGTGTGTGCGTCTGTATCCAAATTGTATTAGAGGCCAGGGATTAACCAGTTAGGGGGCAACCAGGGCAACAGAGGTGTTGTCCCCTGTGTTAGGAATTAGGTACTCTGTTTTGGGATTCTCCGGTTCGCTTCCCGACGGCGCCCGCACAACGAACGTCGTGGAAACGCCGGCCGGCCACCACCACTCACTCCTATAGTCTTAGATCCCTGGGTTCTATCAATTTGGTATCGGAGATGCAAGACTCCCAGGACGGCGACCAGACGCCGGCGGCGGCCACCGTTCCGCCCCAGGCCCTCGACAACTTAAGGAAGCTGATTTCCGACGTTTCGCGGCAGATGAGCGACATGGCCACCCAATTGGGGGTGGAGCGCCAGCCGCCGCAGCAGTCGCGATCCGCGCTGGATTTCCCATACGGGATGCCGCTTTCATAGGTACGGCGTGTCCGCGGCTTCCACGGCATCGGCGAACGCAAGTCACGTGCCGCTTGCTTCCACCTAGCCGCCTGCCCCTCTCCCACCTTACACCCTTGCGCCGCGCCGCCGCCCGACCATCCCATCCATCCACCGTCGCCCCTCTGCCACACATACGGGGATGCCGCTTTCATACCCGCC